CCTGTGCTCACACCAGCTGTTGGTTTCTCCTCCAGGACTGCATGATCTGCATGGAGAAGCTGTCCTCCCCGTCGGGCTACAGCGACACGTGCCAGTCCAGCACCATCAGGCCAGAGGCAGTKGGTCGCCTGAGAAACTGCCAGCACTCCTTCCACATGCTCTGCATGCTGGCCATGTACTCCAACGGGAACAAGGTACCGAGCTGGCTCACCCTCACCAGGCCCCTGTGTGCAGGTGGCTGGGCTGTGGAGCTCTGATGTGCCTTTTGTCCCCTGGCAGGATGGCAGTTTGCAGTGTCCCTCCTGTAAAACCATCTACGGAGAGAAAACCGGTACCCAGCCCAAAGGGAAGATGGAGATCTCCACTTTCCCCCAGTCCCTCCCGGGACACAAGGACTGTGGGACAATCCGGATTGTGTATCACATCAGCAGGGGCATCCAGGTGAGTGCCCAGCACAGTGGCAAACAGCACAAGCTGTGGGAGCCTCCCAGAWAAGTCCTGGGGTCCAGTGCAGTACCTGCTGGCAGCCCTTTGCTGAGCAGCCTGTGGTGCCTGRAGTCAGCAGCTGCCCTGGCTGTTCTTCAATATGTGAGGGTCTGCTTCATCAGAGCCCTTCCTGAGCAGCCCAGCTGTTCACCTGCAGTACAGACTGACACCTGCCTGAAGCAGGGATAGATTGCCCATGCTCACAAGGTGGGGAAAACCCAAAATCTGGTTGCACAGCCCACACTGGTTTCACTGATGGCAGTGAACTTCCAAAGGTTTGAGCTGTGTGGTCTTTGGAGGGTGTTATCAGACATGGAAAAAGCTATGGTTTGGGGCCGTATTCCACCAGAATTTAAGTAGATTTTGGATTTGGCTTTGTATCCCAGCATGAGGCTGCACTTAGAGGATCTGTGACACTCATATGTCCCATAAGAACAAGTACCTTGTACCCATCAGCAATACCTCGCTGCCTTTCCTTGGAAGAGCTGGTTTGAGATGGGCCTGTGTCAGATCCTGCTGCTGAAGGATTGTCCAAGTTTCATGAAAATGGATGTTTTTCTGACAATCTGTCTCATCTCTTGCAGGGTCCCGAGCACCCCAACCCTGGGATGCCGTACACGGCCAGAGGCTTTCCTCGCTATTGTTACCTACCAGACAATGAGAAGGGCAGAAAGGTGAGGTATCACACCCTGATAATATCACCCTTCTTGGGTTGTCAAGCTCCTGGCAAGCTGCATTCATGGCACAAATGTCTGAGCTGCTACTCCTAGCTTTGGTTTTCCTTTCYTCTGCCAGGTCCTGGAGCTGCTGAAGGTGGCCTGGAAGAGACGCCTGATTTTCACGGTGGGCACTTCCAACACCACCGGCGAGAGCAACACGGTGGTGTGGAAYGAGATCCACCACAAGACTGAGATGGACTCAAACCTGAGTGGCCATGGCTACCCTGACCCCAACTACCTGGACAATGTGCTGGCAGAGCTGGCTGCCCAGGGTGTCACTGAGGACTGTCTGGGCCAGTGAGCCCCAGGGGCCACCTAGTGCACTTATTCCTGATGCCTTAAGTTCCTGTGTCTGACCACCCGTCACACTGAGCAATAACAGTTCTGTGGGAGCCCTGCCCGCTCTTCAGATTTTTTTGGGGGGAGGAGGGAAGGATATTTTTGTAGAAGCTGTGCTTGTGTCTCGGGGTGGGATTGATGGCTGCAGCCAGGAGCAGCTGGGATGGGAGTCCTGAGGTGGCAGATCCCCTGGGGAAGGCAGGACCTTCCTTTGGTAATGCCTGKGGACAGGATGGGAGAGGAGAGTGCTTCCCATAAACCATTGGAAGCCAAGCAAGGTCCTCCTTTTGGGACATGCTCCCTGCCTGAGGCACCTCTTGCCTCCCTCCTGCCTTGTATGTCTGCTCAGTCCCAATAAACTCTTCATTCCCACAGCAAATCCCTGCTCTGCCTTCCTGCTGCCTTGGGGCTTGGGGTGCCTCCCCCTCAGAGATTCTGGGGCACCAGCCTGCTCCATGGAGCCGTGGACCCTCAATCCAGCCAGGAGGGAGGAGGGAAAGCTCAGCCCTGCTGGAGGACAAACATCTCAATAGAGGTATGAGGCTGGTCCCAGGAAGCTTGGTTCCAGCCTGTCAGTGCTTTGGCCACTGGAATTTGGTGGCCAAAATGCCAGCAGAGGTGACCTGTCAGTGTCCTGTGGGAAGTTGTAGCCCCCTGCTCTTGCTGTGAGCTGCCAGCCCCATTCATCCCAAAGATGAGCAGCAGAACCTGTCTCTCTCTCCCCTTCTCTCAGGTGAAATGGCAGCAGTTGGGTGAAGGCTCTGCAGGGAGGAGCTGCCATGCTTTGTGCTGCTGCTTGCAGGGATGCTGATGCCACCAGCTGGTGACAGTCACCTTCCTCCCAGCAGCAGTGGTGGCYAGCCAGGTGCCAGCAGCAGTGCTCTGCTTGGGAGCACATTCCTGCTCTGGGTGCTAGCCCCAGATGGGATATTGCCCCAGTCCTGGTGGCTTTGCTGTGCATTGTCCCCAGACTGCTTGTCACCTGSGAGTTGATGTCCTTTGAAGAGCTCTTTCTGGCTCTTCGCCTCCTTGTGGCCACCAGACCCAGCTGCACATTAAATCCATCCAATCCATCCCTTTGGCACTGGTGCCATCTGCCATTTMACCTCCTTCCTGGGAAATCTGGGAYGTGGCTGGGCTTTGTGACAGCTYTRCYTTGGCATCCTCCTGTGACCAGCACATCCTGGACCAGCTGAGGAACACTTTGCTTCCTGTCATACCAGGATAAAAATTAAAATTTTTTCTGAGCCATCAAGGGCTGGAACTTTCCCCAGTGTCCATCTTGTGCTTGCAGGATCCTGGTACCCTCTTCAGGTTCAAGGGGGAAACCCCTCAAACAKCCTGATAAATCTGGGAGTGCTGCAGGAACAGCAGCTCCTTGGGAGCTGCAGTGACATGTCTGTGTCGCTGAGCTTTTCACAACTGGCCTCTGCTCCTCTCCCACCCTGCTTGCGAAAGGCAGAGGTTTTGAGTTCAAACCTCAGCTTTGAATCCCCGGATCATGTTGTCCCAGCAATCAAAGCAGTGAATTGAAGCAAAAATTGAAGCAGGGTTCACTCAGCCCTCTAMAGAGCAAGAATTTCCTGCTGAGTTTGGCCCAAGGCATCTCCASCAGCTGCTCCTGGGTGTGAATCAGCTGGAGCCTCCCTCAATCTGGGCTGGTCCAGGGCAGGGGCACTGGGCTGTGGTGAGCCAGCCAAGCTCAGCACCTCATCCCTGACTGCTCTGGCTTTGGCAGGGGGATCTGCTGGGTGGAAGGGAGCAGAGCCAGGTGCTCAGGCAGKGAGATGCTTTGAAAGGTGGGATGAAAGCATAACCACGGTGCCTGATGGAGCCAGGMGGGGACAGAGCCCCAGTTAAATGCTTACCATGCTCCCAGATGCGTTTGACAAAAAGCTTTGTGTCCCCCATCCCCATCTGGAGCCCTAGCGAGAGGAGAGGGGGGTGTCTCTCCCAGCCCCCTGCGGTGATGGCTCATCTGCCACAGGGTGGTTATTMTTAGCCCAGCCTTGACCCCGCAGCTATGCTGGGTACCGGCAGCTGAAACTGTGACTCACAGTCCCCCTGCGTCACCCCCTCTGCGTCACCCACCCTGCCCTCACCTCGCTGGTGGCACCTTGCCGGCCGGGGAGCACCGGAGAGAGGGCTGGGGGGCAGGTGTGGGGCCCCAGGGCCGGTGTTGCTGGCTGGGACTGGGGAATAGGGCAGGGATGAGGAGGACGAGGGACGGCGGCTGCAGCTGCGCCTGTTTTTCCCCTCTGCAGCTGGACGGTTGTAATCTTTGAATGCCCCATTTCCACTTAATCTGAAGGCGCGGTCCCGGCCCCTTGGGAAGGGGGGGAAATCTCCTCCCACGCAGGAGTGGGCAGCCGCTCCCCTTGGTAAACACGGGAGAAGGAGCGCTCCAGCCCCTCTGCGGGGGGAGCAGCCGAGGGGAGCGGCAGAGAGGGGCTCCCGAGCCGCGGGGCAACTCCCGCTCCAGGGCAATGTCCCCGAGCCCCTCCCAAGGGCTTGGAGGGGGGACAGAGGGGGAAATGCCAGTGTGGGGTGGCCCCAGTGCTGAAAATGCTTCCGCACTGCCGAGGCTGGGTGGGACCGTTCACCTGAACACTGGGATTTGGGTGAGTTCGGGTGTGATGCTCCTTGGCGCTTCCCTGCCCGCGGGGCAGGGCTGGCTGCGCCCGAACCAGTTGGGCACGGGCTCACCCCTGGCTCCGAGGGCCTGGTGGGCACAAAGCACCCGCAGGGAGTCGGGTCTTGGTGGGGCAAGTGGGGGTCCAGGGCGACTTACCTGAGTGCCCCCACATTGCCACCAGACTGACTCCTGCCACTGGAGTGGCACCTCATGGCAGCAGGCATCCTGGAACAAGGCCCCAGTGCCCCGTCTGTGCCTCAGTTTACCCTTTCTCGTCACAGGCTTGTGCCCTGATTCCTAGCAGGTGCCTCGGGGTCCTGCAGGACGGTTCCCTGGGGTTTTGGGACCAGCCCGGGATGCTCAGTTGTTCCACACTGCCCGCAGGGTCTGGCTGGGCCGGCAGAGCCGGTGCAGGAATGCGGGGCTGGGAGGGTCCGGCTCCTCAGGACAGGCGGTCCCTGCTGCCGGGGCACTGGGGAGAGTTCGTCCCCTCGGCAGTGGGACGGGGTGAGCGGAGCAGGACAGCACGTCCAGCACCAGCAGGACGACGCCATGAAGCTGCTGTGGGTGCTGCTGGCGCTGGCTGGGACGGGCRCAGCCGCGGACCTGGGTGACTCCCTGGGGGACAGGATGGGGGGGACGGGAGAATGGAAGGGCTGTGAGGTGTTTGTGCCAGGGAGGGGTTCTGGGGCTGGGCTTGGCTGGGGGGTCCCCAYACCAGTGCTGTYCCCTGGTGCTGGMRCSCTGTGAGACTCCCCTGTGCCAACAMTGGTGTGGGTGTGGGCTGGRGTCAGGCACTCTCTGAGCGGTGCAGAGCAAGGGTCCCCTCGCTCACTGCCCACTCCCCAGCCCAGCTGCCCTACGTGCCCCAYGTGTCCCCCATGGCACTGCTGGGCAAGGTCACTGCCACCACCTTCGCGCTGGAGAGGCCCCGCTGCATCTTTGACGGCCACGCCGATGCCTCCGACGCCATTTGGCTGGCGGTGGCTTTTGCCAACGGTGAGCACTCGCTGCTTCGACCCGTCACCCCCATGGCAGGGGACATGGGRGACCCTCACCTGCCATCTGTGCCGTGCAGCATCAGCCACCTTCAGAAATCCCCAGTCCCGCGCYGATGTGCCCCCGTACAAGCAGCTGCCCACTGCCCGCTCCTACATGACGCTGGAGACAGCAGCAGCCGCGTATTCCTGCTCCTCCTGCTCGGCACCGAGCCCGCCCGTCCTGCGGGTCGGGAGTGACACGGCGTGCAGGGACCAGGGCAGACAGGACCCCTGCAATGGGCCCCTGCCCTCCCCGGGACCCTACAGGTAAGGCCAGAGCCCCCAAACCCCAGCTGGGGTGACCCGTCACCAGGACATGCTCGTCCCCCTGGTATCACCCCCGCGCCCGCTGCAGGGTGAAGTTCCTGCTGATGGGCTGCCGCGGCCCCAAGGCGGAGACGCGGTGGTCCGACCCCATCCTCCTGCGCACAGGTACTCGTGGCACTGCCACCCCCCTGCGGGTCCCCCTCACCTGCCCGGGTGGGGTGCTGGCATGTGGCACAGCATCAGCCCTGTGCCATCACCCCAAAACCTGTGGGGAGAAGTGATCCCCGATCCTGTCACCAGCCCCAAACCTTCCTGTCCCCTCACACCATCCCTGAGCCCCCCATGTCACCCCATATCCCCCATCCTGCCTCCTTCCAGCTGTCAGCCCCAGCACCATCGACCCCGCGCCCGCTCGTATTGGCAGTGACGTGGTTGTCATCGCCTCCATCCTGGCCAGCCTGGGGGCCGCGCTGGCCACCGCCGTGCTCGGAGCCCTGGGGTACGGGGAGCTGCTGGGGTGGGAGTGTCTGCAGGGACACAGAACCCCCTAACTTGTCAATCCCATCAGCAAAGTAATAGAGATTCTTGTAACATTGAAAAAGGTTTTTTATTCTTAAATTGGAGGTTTGCTGGAGTTTGCAGGTGTAAGAGCCCCCTGGGGATGGTCAGTGCAGGGGGTCCACAGAGCCCTGCGGGCAGAGCTTGATGCCTCTGCTTTTCTGTCCCTGCAGTGTCAAGGTGTGGGGCTTCCTACGCCACCAGGATTTGGGGACCGACGCTTTCACCCGCAGATCCTACCGGACCCACCACATCYCCCCAACCTTACCCCATCCCCTGCMSCCCAGCTGCGGGTGTAGCCCCCCAGGGCTGTGCCGCTCTGCCCCCCAACMCCCTGCTCCGTGTCAGACAATTATGGAACAGTTTGGGTTGGAAGGAACCATAAAGACCACTTCGTTTGAASCCCCCTGCCATGGGCAGGAACACCTTCCGCTGGGCATAAAGCGTCCTGTCAAGTAAAAYCTGATTTTACATCTGTGACTGCCTCCTCCTGGTCCTCGGCTACGCAGGGTGGGACCTGTGAAGATGGGGGACCTCAAAAGCCACGWGGGGCGCTGGTTTGGTGGCACTTGGTGTCAGGGTGGGGGGCACATGCTGTCACGGGYGGGGTGTGTGGGAGGCACCGGGGTGTCCCTGTGTGCCCATTGCCCGGGTGAGAGCTGCCACCCACCCGTGCCACAAGCACAGCGGTTCTCAGCACGCCTCGCCGGCGGGCGCTCAAACATAACAAACGCTGCCGGGGAAACGAGCCCAACCTGTTTGCCACGGGGCTGCGGCCGCTGCAGGAATGTGGGCGGTTGGTGACCACAGGCGGGTCCCACGGGGACGCGGAGCCCGAGCACCCGCACTCCCGCCCTCGGCACCGAAGCGCCCGCACCATGCTCCCGCTGCTCCTCCTGCTCCTGCCCGTGGCCCACGGCATAGGTGAGTCCATCGACGCCATCGGGATGGACTCGGCATTCCCTTGGCACTGCGGGGATCCCCGRGGCGCAGGCACCCGGACGCCTTTGAGCCTGGAGGTGTAGGGCAGCTGATGCCCACCCTGTTCTGGATCCTGTTCTGGGGGCCACCTCTGGGGGTGTCTGGKGTCACTGATTTTGGTTGCCAGGCACAGTGTGGGTTACTCTGGAGGTCCCCATTGGGGTCCAGCAGGACACCCCTGAGCCTGAAGGCGTAGGGCAGCKGGTGCCCCCCTATTCTGGGAGCCACCCCCTGTGTCCCTGGCRTCATCAACCTGGGTCCTCTGGGAGTCCTGCACTGGTGTTTTCCCCTCCCCGGGTGGGATCATGGGGTGTCTTTGCTTCCTCTTTTCATGAAAGGCRTATCCGAGCCCTACTCGGGGGGTGGGAGRGGAGCGGGRGCCCYACTGCCGGGATCCCAGGGTTCAGCTCCCTCCTGTCCCTGTCCCCACCCCGAACCCCGGCACCGCGGGGCTGCAGCGGGGAATCCGCACCCTCTGCCGCACTCCCTTGGCTTCTCACCGCAGTGGAGCTGCCGTACAAACCAGTCCTGACAAAGACCCCCGCGCTGGAGGGGCAGACGACCGCCTCCACCTTCGTGCTGGATCAGCCCCGCTGTGTSTTCGAGGGGTACAACAATGCCGACATCTGGCTGGTGGTGACCCTGGACGAGGGTAGGCGGGAACAGCCCAGGGCAGGGCGTGTGCAGGGGTCCCTGTGACCCCCCCGATCCCTCCTCACCCCCATCCCCACTCCTACAGCCAAATCCGCTTTCAACTACACCGCGAGGCCGGGGACTTCCGARACCGCATTCCAGGGCTTCCCTGGTAACGTGTCTGCCTACATGACCCTCAATGCCACCCTGGCCAACTACCCGTGCCCCAAACCCTCCGGGGACATCACGGTTCTGCGCGTCGGCAGCGAGACCAGCTGCGCCGGGGACAAGGCGAGACCCACCTGCAATGGCCCCCTGCCCGGCCCCGGGCCCTACCGGTGAGCCTGTTCGTGGGGACCTGTCCCTCTCGAGGGCTGCCGCCAGCCCCCGGCTCACGGCACCGTGGCCAACCTCCCTTCCCATCCCAGGGTGAAGTTCCTCGCCCTGGAGGGCTCTGAGCCCGTGGCTGTGACCCAGTGGTCGGACCCCATCCCGCTGAGGAAAGGTACCGCTGCCGGGGTGCTCGTCCTGTCCCCGCACCCATCCCGCGTCTGTCAGGGGGGGCAGGATTTGGGGTGATTCTGAGGGATGTGGGGTGGTCCCAGGGCGCTGAATGCTGAGCAATGGCCGTTTGGAGTGAGGGCTCCTGTGAACAGCTGGGGAAACTGAGGCAGGGCTGTGCCGMGGGTCTCGCTCGGGTAGGATGGCAGCGTGTGATGGCACGTTGKGCCGGCACACACGAACACACCGTCACCCCCTGAGCCACGCCAGGGCGYGCATTTCTGCATCCTGCTCCCTCTCCTCCTGCTCTCTCCCCAGCCAAAGAACTCAGCAGCATCCCCACGACGGGCAACGGGTACAGCGCCGGCATGATCGCCATCACCACCATCCTCTCCATCCTCTTCGCCATCCTCCTGGCCGCACTGCTGGCCATGGCCATCTTCTGGGGGTGAGTGCCACCGCCAGGTCCCACCCAGGAGCCGCGATGGGCGCTGGGCACGCGGGACCGGCGTCAGAAGGTGACGCCGTCATCCCTTGGTCCCCACCCTCATCCCTCACCCCGCCTTCCCTCCCTCCCCAGCTCGGACTCCTGCAGCGGCAGCAGCACCTTCAGCAAGCCGGAGTCGGTGACGGTGCGGCGGTACAACACCCACCACGTCTATGACCAGCCGGCCGCCCGGCTCTGAGCCCCCGCCGCCCCTCCCCACCGCCCCCCGTGCGGGTGGCAATGTCACCGCCACCGTTCCATCCCTGTCACCGCCGCCCTGGGGACGCGGCCCGAGCTGTCCCCCGGGACGGGGCGATGGAGCGGGATATTAAAGGCTTTTCCGCATGCTTTGTGCCCAGCCTGTGCCTCTTGTTTGTGACTTCTCGGTGCCTCCCGCAGCCTCTTGGAAAGCCCCGTCCCTGTGCCMCATCCCCGGGTGGGAGAGTGCTGCCGCACGGGGCAGGATGCGGCCAGGGATGATCTGGAGTGGGAGACGTGTTGTCACAGCCASCTGGGGCATCGGTGCCACCTGTGCCCACTTCAAACGGGAAAAGTCCCCTGGGGTGCAGAGCGGCGAGGGGAGCCTGACACCCCAGCCCTGATGCTGGGATGAGGGGCACTGAAACACCCCGTGACAGGGACTGTGGGTGTAGGGAGATGTTTCTCCAATCCCATTGTTATCCTACAATGCTTTCTCCCTGACCAAGCCCAGAGGAAGGGCTCCCTCACCCAGAGCTGCCCCARTCCTTCCCGGGTGGTTCTGGGGTTCCCGTGAGAGCCATGAGACCCCAAGAAGGGACTGGCACCCTGGAGTGTCCCTGATCCCGATCTGGGGGATGTGGGGGCTGATCCTGCACCAGGAGTTGTCCCTTATCCTGACTTGGGGGATGTGGGAGCTGATCCTGCACTCGGGACTGTCCCTGATCCCGATCTAAGGGATTTGGGGGCTGATCATTGCGCCAGGGGCTGTCCCTGATCCCGATTTGTGGGATGTGGGGGCTGATTCTGCACGGGTGGGGAGTGGGCTGGGGAGGGGAGGGAAGCTGATCCTGTATTAGTGGCTGGAAGGGACCGGATCCATCATTCCTGATCCTACACGGGGGTGTGGGTCTATGATGCCACTCTCAGGCATGTGGGTGGCCTGATCCCGCAGCCCGGGCAGGATGAGACCCCGCTGGAGCTGCAGAGAAGCCCCTTTTGGGTGGGATCAGGGCAGGTGTGTGTGTACCTATAGACACCATACACAAGCATCTAAAGGCCCGTTTTTCCCCCGCAGGCGCCACGCCAAGGGCAGCATCACATTCGCCCCCCGGCCCGGTCACAGCGCCCTTTCGGGGTGTCCTTGTGCCGCCTGGGAGGGGTGCTAGCACTGCCCCCCCGCTGCCGGAGCCGCCTCCGTGGAGCCCGGCCAAGAGAAATCAAGCAAATCCAGCGATTAACTCGTGCCGAGATCAGCGAGGGAGCAGCGCAGGGATGGTTCCATCCGGCAAACGCGGGTCCCCTCCGCCCTACAGCCCGTGCCCCGAAATAAAACAGCCGCTTCACTTGCAAAGCAGCATCGAATGTTGTGGGGAGGGGTGTGTCACCTGCCACGCGTGCGCTGCTGGCGGTGGGACATGTGGCCACGACCCCTGTGAGCTGACACACGGGGAGGCTCGCGGGATGGTGGCAGGGACTGACTGCACCTTGTCCCCTTGCTGTCCCCCTGTGCGGGGGAGGCAAAGGGGCAGCGCTGTAGGAACAGAGCAGCGTGTTCCCAGCGTGTCCCTGCAGTGTCCCCATAGYGTCCCCGCGGAGAAAATGCCAAGGACCATCTTGGCCGGCACAACCCTGAGCTCTGGGCGCCGGCCGAGTCCTCGAGCCCAGGTGGGTGTCCCACTGAGGGGGGTTCCCCGTCCCCCCGCCGGTATTTAGAGCACCAAGCCCCCAGAAATGCCCACTGTCCCTCGGGAGTGCTGCAGCCAGGAGGGASAATACTTTAAAAACAAAAAGAGAGATTAAAAATCAAGCAAACGGTAAGGTTTTGGGGTGCAGGGCAGCGCGGAGCGGCCGATGCTGCAGCCCCCCAGGTTCGTGGGGGGCGCGGAAGGGTCCGGTGTGGGTTTGGCCCAACCCAAGCGGGAGCCGGGCTGGGCGGGCCGGGGCTGCACCGCCCTGGAGCTGCGGGCGGTGCCGGGCGCTGAGGGGACAGAAGGGACAGAGGGGACCGAGGGGACAGAGGGGACAGAGGGGAGCGAGCGGGGGCACCGGCGGGACCCCGGCAGCGCGGGGAGCCTGGCCCCGCCCACCCCGTACAAGCCACGCCCACCAGGCACAAGCCACTCCCACCAAGCACAAGCCACGCCCCTTACGCCGCTCGGGCCCCACCCCCTGGCCGACAGCCGATAAAATMAACCAATGGGCGCCGCGGATGGGCGCTAGGCCACGCCTCTTGCCRCGCCCCCTCGCGCTGATTGGCGGGCGCCGGCGCCGGTCCGCACATGGGCGCTGTGCGCGGGTCCGCGGGTTCGAGGCCGCGCTCGGCCCCGTTTGGCTCCGCTCGCCTCGGCTCCCTCCGCTCCGCTGCTCGCCACACAGACATGGCCCGGCGCAGCGCCCTCTCCATCCGCATCGTGGAGGGTCGGAACCTGCCCGCCAAGGACATGTGAGYACCCCCGTGGGGACCGGGAAGGGTTTAGGGCGGGGACATCCAGGAGGGACTCCGCTCATTCCCAGGAGTGCTGCGGGGTGTCCCCCCAACAGGTCTCTTTTGGAGACACCACCCTCAGGGTGCCTTTGGAGGGTTCCCTCTGCTTTGGGGACTTGTCCAGAATGGTTTGGACCCCTCCAGCAGTGTATGTGATTTAGGGGTTCACCCCAGGGTGGCTTTGGGATCCGCTTTTGGGGTATCATGCCTTGGGGTGTTCCCTCCTTTGGCTTTGGAGTCGTCTTGCATTGGGAGTTTCCCCCGGTGGCTTTTGGGTCTCSCCCAGCAGTGTGTTTACTTTGGGGGATCCCTTCAGGGTAGATTTGGGGTATCCCTCCAGTAGTGCATGCACTTTGGGGGATCTCCATAGGGTGGCTTTGGAATAATCTCCCTTGCTTTGGGGCTCCCTCTAGTATGGCTTTGTGATTGCCTTGTTTTGGGGGTTCCCCCGGCGTGGCTTTGGGATCCCCCTTGCTCTGGGTTCCCTTCAGGATATCTTTGTTGTGTGAGCCCCCATCTCCCTCAGGAGGTCTGTGATTCCGCCCCGATTCGGGGAAACCCTCCGGGATAGGGTTGAGGATTCCCCCAGGAGCACCCCTGGGATGTCCCCAGGAGTACTTTGGGTTCCCCAAGCAGTGCTCCCACAGGGCAGGGCTGTCCCCACCACCCCGGGACCCTCGCAGGGACCCCCGAACGTGCAGCAGGACCCGGTACATCCATTCCCAAAGGAGCAGGGGCTGCCCCAGTGCTGTGTTCCCAGTCGCCGCTCCGTTCCCAGCCCTGGCTCCATCCCCACCTGGCTGAGATCCGGGGGGCAGCCCTTGGGTCGGGATTTCCCTCCCAGAAAATCCCGGTTTTATCCTCATGGCTCCTATGGGGTGGGRTGTGGGGACAGCAGCGGGGTGGGATGTGGGGACAGCAGCSGGGTGGGATGTGGGGACAGCAGCGGGGTGCCCCCAGCTCCCTCCAAGGCAGCTGAGGAGCGCCCGGCAGCCGGAAAACCAGAAAAAATCCCTGCAGCCGTCATGGAAAAAGAGGATAAACAAGGAAAGAAACATGACTTTTTTTTTTTTTTTTTTTTTTTTTTTTTTTTTTTTTTTTTTTTTTTTTTTTTTTTTTTGTTTTTATTCTTTTTTTAAATCCCGTGTGTCAGGGCCTGATTTTTAAATCCCTTGGCACAACTCTCCGCCGGAGATTGACCCAGCACGGGCAGGCTCTGGGTTTGGGGAGGCTCTGGATTTTTGGGAGAGCCGGGAAGCCGCCGTGCCACAGCKCCTGGAGCGGAGCTTTCCGGACCGGTGGCTTTGGGACGTGGCGCTGGGCTGGGACGGCGGGGAGGGAGGGAAACCCGAGCGCGACCTTGTCCGTGTCTGGCCCCGGCCCCCTCCCCGCTGCCCGGCGGCTCAGGGGATCCGGTTCCCTGCCCTGGCACGGCTTTTGGGATTGCTGGYTTCCTCCTGGGAATTCCCTCCGCGGGGTGTCCCGGCTGCATGGGCGGCTCAGACCCTGCTGGCAACAGCCAGGGGTGATGGAGCACCCCCAAATCCCCGTGGGGAACCCTCAGATCCCACA